GATTTACAAAGATGATGTTTAGCATGGGTCACCTTGCTAGAGATGGAGGTTCCTGTAGAAAGCTTGTTTTCATTGCTTAATCTCATTTTTCTAGAAGCTTAAAGTTTTTAAGCCAAGGTGCCCCATGGGCGGTGCCTGAGAGACAGCATGCCCATTCTCCCTTAGCTGGTAGCGCACAGATCTATCTGGCTTCCCAGACAATGTAATCTCTGCAAGTGAGAGGTGCATTTATCATCATTTACCACTTACTCACGACCTGTGTCAAGTCATGAGTGGTGGGGCTGGATTCCAGCTCAAGTCTGTACTGCACAATACTGGCTTCTGCCCATAACTTTCTTATCAACCTCACCTGTCTGCTGCTGCTGACGAGATGGGCCAGCCTGTGATCTTATTCTGCAGAAGAGGGAGCATTTTCTAATAGAAGGCTTCCTAGTTCTTCCTTAAGGAAAACTGTAAAGGAATACCTCACCGAATGAACTCAAGTGTAGAGTTTAGCTATCCGCTTGTGGGTAACTCAAGACTTCTGTGACCTTACTTACAGGGTGCTTCATCACTGAACATCAGGGCTAGTCTACATACACCAAACTCTCCCTCTGGGTTTGCTGCCTCCATGTGATTTTAAGAAGCAAATTGGCATGACCATCAAATGGACTTGGATTTTATTGTCTTTCAATATCACACTGCCACAATTGGCCAGAAATGGTACCCAGGTTATTTAACTGCCTATGGTGCTCCAGCATTGAGCTAACAAGCTGTCATTAGTGTGCATAATGTGCATCCTCCTCTTCCTGGGGTTTCTCTTCCCCATTTAGAAGCAGAATGAACAAATTTTTCTTAAGAGGTATTTCAGTCCTGAAGCAGTCAGCCCTTTGAACATTTAACTTCATCCCCCACATCATTACAGAAAAGCACTCCGTGGCTCTGGGCCCAGGTCTGACCCCTGCAGATCCCATTTGCAGGGACTGTGAATCACCACCAGTAAGTACTTCTCTCCTTTGGCTTCCAAATCTGGAAGTGGTTGGGCAACTGTGGTTTATCAGACTTGTGCAAATTAAATTCCCCCAAAGATAAATTTCACTAATGCAGTCAAAAGATGATTTGTGTTCCTGACAACATATACTAGACTCCAAGAACAAAAAAATAATCTATATTCACATAGGGTGTTTGTTAAAAATAAAATGAAGACTGTGCCAACTGACACATTTTTCTTCACATCCACGTCCATTAACTATCCACTACCAAAATGATTCTCATGAGAGGTGGGAGGGAAGAAAGGGAAAGAGGGAAATTATGTAATTATATTTTAATTAAAATTTCTTTTAAAATAATGCTCATGCCTGCTGCATGCTCTGGTGCAATATGCCAGCTTGTTTCTTTTCAATTAAATTGGCTTGCAATCTCTAACTCCTGAATTAACTTAATCAACAAAGGCTCTGTGTTTTTTTGTGTTATTAAAATAGTGTAGGGTAGAGTTAGTGTCTAAAGCTCGAATGCCTTTGGAATCCAGACAATTACTGCAAATGCGTTAAGCTAAAATGGAAGGCATTAACACACTGGAAATTCCAGCACCACTGGAAATGTCCCAATTCATTTAAACACACACACACACACAACACACACAACACACACACACACACACACATACACACACACACACACACACACACACACACACACACACACACACACACTCTGGCTAAAGTAAAGAAAGCATGTATCAGTTTAGACTACACTGAACAGTGGTGAGCCTGTGGCCTAGACTTTAAATCAGCCCATTACATCTAATTTGTAGGGCCTGAATTCAACCTTCAAATGTGGTGTGTGTGTGTGTGTGTGTGTGTGTGTGTGTGTGTGTGTGTGTGTGTGTGTGTGTGGCAGGGGATGGCAGAACAGCAGGGACTTCCTTGAGTCTCCCTGATTCTGGTATCCTCTCTGCCTGTGCGGTTAAAATTAATCACCATCAGATCTCACATACACTTTTATCATAAAATATATTGGCATCCAGGCAAGTACTTTCCCACTGCATTCATGGTATGTGTTCCCATATGGCAAGTGCATTTGTGACCAGTTGTAGACCAAGGCCACACTCATTGAAATGCAGTGTGAGGAACAAACGCTCCCAGCTGTGGAACGTCAGCTAACCTGGTGGCCTATTTCAGTAATAGTGATTGTCCCTGATGGAGAGGGACAGAACACCTTCAGCTACTGCTACAGCGTCAATCATCCTGGCTGTTGTGGGCCCTTCCTTCAGTGTCTGAGAACAGCAGGCAAGCTTGAACTTACCGATTTTGTGTGAAAGGTGTTATCAGCTGAGGGATGCTTTTCATATTTTTTTCATTTGCTTTTCAACAATCTCTCTGTCCTCAGCGCACACAGAGAAATTCTATGCTGAGGCTGAGTTAGGATATGCCAAGTTCAACCTGGAGAAAAACCTAGTTAAAAAGCCATACGTTGTATCATCTGCTCTGAGTGTTTAGTGACCCACTGATGGCAGTAACTACAAGCTGTTCCCAAACACCCCCAGTTTCTCATAGGCATTACAAGGAAAACAAACCCTGACATTGAAGAAAGCTTGAGCAAGAAGCAGGTTCTAGAAATGGGCACTGATGTAGCCTGAGGATGCTGTAGGATGCCTTCTTGAGATGAGGAGCCATTTTCATAACCAGAAAGGAAATGACATATGGAGATTACTCAGTTGCTCCAGTTAGGTGTGATGCTTTGTTATGGATTTGACCTGCAGTTTGGGACTGGCTGAGGCTCATTTGCTTGGTTACTATGGTTTTCTTTGGTTTAGGTTACAATCTGCCCATAACTAGAGTTAGGGTGTAGTTCATTATACGGAGACCACCTGGGGTCAGATTTTATTGCTGATATAAGCTGGGTTAGGGCGAACCTATTTCAGTTTTATTACAGAGTAATGAGGCATGGGCTCGTAGCTAGGTTCACAGGTTCACAGGAGAAGAATATTTCTAGAGTCCTTTGCAGCTAATGAATGGCAATGAGACTAGGTTCTGGTCAGGAAGATGTAAGATAAGGCATAAGAAATGTCCTAAAACAAAGGTCCTCAATCTGTGCATATCAGATATTGACATTAGGACTCATAACAGTAGCAACATTACAGTTATGAAGTAGCAATGAAGTAATTTTATAGTTGGGGTCACCAGAACACGAGAAACTGTATTTTTTTTTCCTTTGGTTTTTCGAGACAGGGTTTCTCTGTGTAGCTTTGTGCCTTTTCCTGGAACTCACTTGGTAGCCCAGGCTGGCCTCGAACTCACAGAGATCCGCCTGGCTCTGCCTCCCGAGTGCTGGGATTAAAGGCGTGCGCCACCACCGCCCGGCGAGGAACTGTATTAAAGGGTCACAGCATTAGGAAGGTTGAGAACCACTTTTCCAAAAGAATGAAGTTCTACTCCTTTGTTTCCTCCTTCCCTCTGCTGTTTGGAGTTCGTGTGGCGATGGCAATGTCCAAGACAACAATTTTGTGCTGTACAATGATGGAGCAAAGAGATGGGAGGAGCTACGTACCTACCCTCGCCTACCTAGCCTTGCCGATGGTTCTCCTTCTCTGGCCATTTAGACGGGGACTAAGGAAGCTCGCATCTTGTTATGCTAACAGTAATGAGGGTGAGGTGGGCAGTCCCCATCACTCCCAAGGGAGCCATTTCCAGTTAACACTTCATCTGTTGGAGCAGATGAAGATCCACGCAAGTTCTCTCTTCCATCATCTCCTGCCTCTCATCAGGGTCTCCACAGGCTGTTGTCTTACCTGCCTTGCCACTTTACCAGGGCCTAACTGTGTTCTGCCTATTGTTGCCGAGCGCCAGGTGGGAGGCTGGGACTAGAAACTATCCCTTTGTAGTCACTTTCTTGTTGATAGTGCAAAGCAAAACACTGAAGTGCTAGACACCCCATAAACTCCTTAACTGAAGTAATTTAAAATGCAATTTTTGTTTATTTGAGATAGGGTGCCCTACAACCCAGGCTGGTCTCAAACTTCCTATATAGCCCAGGCTGGCTTGAACTCCTGATCCACCTGCATCCACCTTCCAAGTGCTAGGATTACAAGTATGTGCTGCCATGCCCAGAGTATGTGGTACTGGGAATCAAATTTGAGGACCAGTGTGTACCAGGCAGGCACTCTACCAACTGAGAGATATCACCAGCTGGGATCCATCTTTGAATTCTGAACTATTCAATTTTCTAGGTCTTTTCACTTTCATCTTTAGATTTTATGTTCTTAGTGCTGGAGAGATGGCTCATCAGGTAAGATCACAGGCTGCTCTTCCAGAGTACTGGGGTTTGATTCCTAGCACCCACATGGCAGCTCACAATAATCCATAACTCCATTTCCAGGTGATCTGATCTCCTCTTTTGGCTTCTGTGGGAACCAGGGATACACACAATACTCAGACATACATGTAGACAATAAACACCCATACACATAAAATAATTAAAAATAAATAGAATTAGGTTTTATGTTCTTCAGAGAAATGGTCCCCATAGAGCAATGGGGAAGTCTTTCAAATAGGGAGGAGAGGCCAACTCAGGCCCATGGACTCCCTGCTAAGTTAGTATCAAATCACGGTTCTGATAGGCAAGTAAAACACCCTTGGCTAAAATACCACCTAAAATCGATTGCTGGGTGGACTATAAGAAGGAATGAGATCTGACATGGTGATTTAGCTTATATGAGGTTCAATTTATAATATATATATATATATATATATATATATATATATATATATGTCTACATAGTTTAATTTTATTTAAAAATTTAACTTTATTATTTTTGAGTGTGTGCACTCATGCACACACGTGTATACCCAAGGCTTGAACTCAAGTCCTCAGAGTTGGTGGCAAGAACCTTTATGTACTAAGCCATCTCATTCACTCTAAAGTTTTCTTTTTAAAGCTTAACTTTCTGTGTTTTCAAGATGTTGTTAATCTTTAATCCTCAAGGAACGGATCAAATGAGAAGAAACCAAAGACATACTTGGTGAACTGAAACAGTGTTTTATTGCAATCACAAAGCACCAACTCACCAAGGCATGGACAAACATCGCTCAGTAAATGTCTCTTTGAACAGAGATGTAGCAAGTCCACTTTTTCAAATTCTGAAAGACAAGTACTCAAACCAGGGACCAAACACAGCATAGGACAATTAAAAAAATATTACAGAATCATGGAGGAATATATATGCATATATAAAAATATTCTGTGCTATTAACAAAGCTTTGGGATCTATTAACTCTTGACAAACTGCTTCAGAAAGAATTATAAATATAAACCATAAAGTAAAAAACAAAAACAAACAAACAAACAAAACCCCCAAAGCCCCTAAATGCTTTCTTCAGCAACAAGGAACCAACATAAGCAGGAAATATTCTTTCCCCGTGACAGTGAGTTGATTACAAGGAGGTTTCCAGTGCAAAGCAAGTTTCTCTTCTCAGAAAGAGTTCCGCTCCTGAAGGGAGCCTGGTGCATGTTTGATTCACACACAGCACAGCATATCCCTGTGAAACCTTAAGAAGGTCAAGTGGAGAACCCTCTAGAAAAAAAGGGTGTTGGCAATTCCATCTATGGAGCCTACATCTAGGAGCAGAGCAATTCACGGGAGACAGCGCTCCCTCACTCATCTCCCTCCCCACGGAGTTCTGTTTGTACTCATTGCTACGTCTATAACCCAGACCACTCATTCCACATCCATCCTCCCTTCTAAGAAGTTGACAGAAAACAGTCTATGCTGAAACAAAGAAAATTCTGTGATTTCAAAGCCCCTGAAGGGAGGGATACCTAAGAGTCAATGACAACTTGGTGTGACAAGGACAACCATTGCGTGTACATTCTGTCTTTGCTCCTCCAGGCTGAGTCTGGCCAGCCAATGGATTGCCTAGACTATCCAATAGGATAACACTTTGTTGGATCGAAATTCTTTATGTATACACCTGTATGTATTCTGTTTGTGAAGTCTCACAACACGAAACTAAATTACATCACTGTGAATTCTGTTCTGAGGACTGAGACCTCGATTTCACTTTACTAGGAAGAGCTGTTCTTTAAATGCTTGGTCTGAAGAGGTTTTACATGATACTCATAGATTTTCAGAGCAGGCCCCAGTTTCAACTGCAGCCCTGTCAGCACGTCATTTCTCGTCATCAAGAGCAGGGATTTTCCATCAATTTCCTAGAATGGAAAGAGAGGAAAGGCAGTGTGTGAGCAAGTGCAGCAGCTCTTGGGAATGAAGATCAAGGAAGGGTGAAAACGGACGGGAGTTACAACACTCCTCTCCAGCTAAAAACTACTGTAATGGCGTCAAACGGAATCTTCATTATACCTTCCATCTTCTATTTCAAAACATCTCTGTGTTGAGATTAAACACACTCTATAGCTGATCTTGTTTTCAAGATCCTATCACAAATCTTAAGAAACCCACAGGCAAGTTTAAAGTAGTATGTATCTACCTCAGGGATCCGAGAAGTTCCTTCTGAAAGGGATAAGGACATGTTCCACCCATGAAATAGATTAAAATTTGCTAGAATTCTTTATATGCTTAAGTTCCCAAACCAGTCTATAAATTACAACAGGCAGAGATTACCATCCTTAATTTATAGGCAAAGCAAGGATTGAGCAAGAAGTTTACTGGCTTGACACAAAAAGAATTAGGGAAGAGCAGCATGGGATTTGAAAGCTTGTCTGTCCACGGCCTTTGTCTCCTTTCCTTCTGTCTCCTTATCTCCCCTCTGAAGGAAACCAGGGCTTTACGGGCATCAGCATGGGGACCGGCACTCTACCCCAAAACCCAGTCCCCTCTGCTCAATGTCACAATTAAATGTTTGTTATCTAGATAGCCTAACTGAGTAGACTCAAAGCTTTCTGGAAATCTTGCTAATTATAGTAGTGGGCAACAGTAAGCACAGCTCCCCCTTTGAAAGAGACTCTCCTCTTGTCCTCCCTCAACCTGAAAACCACCGACTTTCCACACTGAGGCTCCCTACCGCGCTTCCTCTCAACAGATCAAGAACAAGGCTGTGAAGGTTAGGGCCCTGCCAGCTGCCAACCCCTGTCCCCTTGTGTTTGAGAGCCCATCCCTTGGGTTCTTTAGGTACTCTGGAGACTACAAGGGAGGAAATTAAAATGGGCTTCTAACAAAGAGATGAAAATGGTCAGAACGGAGAGAGTACTTGGAATTTATGGAAAGGAAACTCCAAGAATGCTGGCCGTGACCATGCTTTTGTTATCGTTTATGGAAGAAATTGTATGTCTCTTAAGGCAGAGCCCAAACTTTAGGAGACTTGGGTCAGCTGTGCTGAAGAGTTCTGTTCATAATTTTGTCTGAACACTCTTGGACCAACCTCGGCTGATGAGAAAAGGAGACATTTCAGTGACCACATAAAACCGTGACCCTGTTTACTTCATCCCCCAGGGAAGCCATTGCTCCCCACTCTCATGGACCTTGCCAGGCTGTGGAGAAAATGTGTTGAACTCTAAGAGTGTAGACAAACAACACCAGGTCAAAGGGGCTAGAGAATTTCCCACTCTGCGGCCCTTGCTCCTGTCTCCCCCTGGGAGATGGGGGGAATGCAGGGCTTCCAATAGGATTCCACGAGGCCTTCCTGCATGCACTCCTTGAGCTATGAGCGAGCAACACACCTCCTTGCCATGCTCATTTTACTTGTCAGCCACCCATCATGAAACAGCAGAACAAGGAATTGCTTCTAGCTGCCTCACAGTGTTTCTGACTTCGGGAAACAGTTTTCGGCTACTAAAACATCTCATGCTGATTTGGGAGAGACAACCACCACACACAAACAAGCAGCTGCTTCAAGGGCAGTTGGAAATTACTCACAAACATGGGAAGTGACCAGTACTAAAGCTTACAGCTTAATCTCCCTGCCTCCTTCCCTCCCTCCCCCTCTCTCCCCTCACTGTTAGTGATCAAGACTGCCCATCAACAATACTGTAAGAGTCTGAGTTGCCTGTTAACTATTTCGAGGTGAACTTGCTTGAGAGGAGTTGTTGTCCCCAAAGAAACCCCAGGAGCAGAGCAGAGAGCACTCTGTGACCACAGCATTCTAAGATTTGGTGGCCTCAGAGCTCAGCCTCCGCTCTGGGTGAGATGAACTCAGACTTGTGATGCCTAAGGAGCCGAGCCCTGCCTGCTCCATAGTCCCTTAGCAGCGCCTGCTCAGATATGACCCTCTCTGCTCCAAACAGGCACCTCTGCTTTCAGATCCTGTTTGCATTTCTGCATAATCAAACTGCCTTTACTAACTGAAAGTGAATTATGGAAAGAAGAAATCTGCGCTGGCCAAACAGCCCTCTGCAGCTCAGCATTTCTGCCAAGTGTGTCTGTGAAAATGCTGAGATTTGGATTTTACTTGAGACAAAATGGAAAATCATGTTTTATGTTCCAATTTGATGATTTCCTTTTGTCCCTCAGGCACTCTGCCGTTCACCTCAGAGCAGTGGGCAGAAGGGATCCCTCTGGAGACACTCACTGTGCACGTGTTGAAATGTATTGTCATCCACACACACAGCTTTCCCCTTTAGCCTGACTCTAGCAGCGCAGACCCAGGAGGGCAGAAGGCAGTACTAGGCGGCTGTGAGCATATGGTCAGGCAGGCAGCAATCTGAATCCTATTACCACAACCTAGGGGGCAGGCAAGCACAGGCAACCATTTAGCAACCAGGGATTCTATCCGGTTGAGCCATGTCCACATCCCTCTTCTAATGCATTTGGCAGCAAGACACCCCTATCTGTGGGTACTAGGCACACATGCCCTTTTCTGAATAGTGAACGTTAGCAACCTTGGACCCCCAGCTGCACTGAGTTAAATACACACCCCGTTCCAAACAGTGGGATGTTTCTCTTCCCTTAGCAAATGATGGGCACTAAAAGAAACCAGCGCCTTCTGTGTCCAAGTCCACCCTTTGCTTCCTTTCTGCATCTTTGCCAGAAGGATGTAAATGTATTCCCACTAGGGGAGAAAATTCACCAAGATTAAAATTTTCAAGAACTGCATAAAACATTTGCCTCATCAAAATCTCACCCATGGGAAAGTCCCTTGATTAAAAGAGCTAATAATTTGTTATTTAACTTCTATAATAGATGGTAATTGCAAATGAAACCCAATTTTTGCTAACCAGCATTGACTGGAAACCGCAGACTTCATCAGTAGCTTTTCTAAGGAGGAACTCACCCGGATCCCAGCAGTTTATTAATATAGACTGGAGGGGTGAAATGCAACCAACAGACTCTGGCTCAGCAGAATAAACAAACAACCAAGATTTGTAAACACATCACAATTAAAGCGAGAACAAAGATATAATTCACTCCCTGGGATTTCTGTGTTAATGGACAAGCATTTTCTAGCTTCACTGTGCTACAGTGTTCCTGTCTTCATGTATAAGCAAACTCCAAATCCCTGTTGTGCCAGACTGCTAAAATGTTTGTCTACTTAGGAAGTTCTAGCAAGTTCTGATACATGCATGCAAGGTGTGGAGAGGATAGGTCTGAATTTCCAATAGCCGAGGCTCCAGATTTATAAATCCAGGGGACAGAGTAGCTACTATATCACTGAGGATTGGGTAGGGCCGGGGCATGCTACTCTATCTCTTTAAGCCTCATTTCCTCATCTGTAAGATGGGGAAGCAGTTACTAGACTGCACTTCTGGAGAATTCAGAGAGAACAATTCAAGACATCTACTGAGCAGCCAATACATACATACACACGTACATACATACACACATACATACATACATACATACATACACACACATACATACATACATACACACACACACACATATATATCTCCTTAACCCTTAACAGAGACTTTTCACTGTCTGTCAGCATTAATCTATGTGTAGATAACCCACTGAATTAGACTTGATCATGATATGAACCATAGGAAATGCATGTGGAGAGAGGTGAGATGGGAATAGAGAAAGAGAGACATAGAAAAACAGGCTAGGGGAAGAAAAGGAAGAGTCACCAAGAAGGAGGCACTGGGTGGTAAGCAGCAGGTGGGACATCCGTGGAAGGGCACTGGGATTCTGCCTTTCATGTGCTGTGTCTGTCCCCCACCCCCTGAGTGAGAACACAGGCTGGAAGGTCAGCGCTGCTCCTCACTGGTCTTCTGTATTAACATCTGGCCCATGACTCCCCTCCACAGCGAGGAGAGCTTTAGGCTAGGACGGCCTCTGTCTCTGCCACTCAACCCTCAGATCCCAAGCATCTTTGATGGGCATCAAGACACACATATCTCATTTGCAACTCCTAGTGAAGAATAAAATGGCAGCTCCTTACCAATCACGTGAAGGATTCCGACACAACAGGCGTTCATTCTCTATTTCCATTGGTCCTCTCATGTTCTCTACAACTTTCTTTGTGACAACTCTCTTACCATTCACTATCCAGCTACAAGTGGTGACCAGTCTGAACTTTCCCATTCCATGGCTTACATATGGTACATGTGTCTCAGAGGCACAAGGACTCAATTTTGATCCTTGGGACACGAAAGTAGAAAATCCTGTGTCCACGATGGGCGTGACACTAAAGAAGGGGGAAGAGGCTCTTCTGGACTGAGCCATGGGACCAGTGAACCAGCAGTCTCCTGAAAAGAGGTCTTCATCTTCAGTGACCTTCTGGAAGCTGCAGCGTGGCCTCTGAAAGCACAGTTCTTCCTCCAAATGGGTTTTGTCTCTGGCATCATCTCTGAGTTCCACTTTGGTACGGCCATCACCCCTGATTTCCCCTTTGATACGGCCATCACCCCTGAGTTCCACTTTGGTACGGCCATCACCCCTGATTTCTCCTCTCGTATGGCCATCACCCCTGATTTCTCCTCTGGTATGGCCATCACCTCTGATTTCTCCTCTGGTATGGCCATCACCCCTGATTTCTCCTCTGGTATGGCCATCACCTCTGATTTCTCCTCTGGTACGGCCATCACCTCTGATTTCTCCTCTGGTATGGCCATCACCCCTGATTTCTCCTCTGGTACGGTCATCACCTCTGATTTCTCCTCTGGTACGGCTCCATCTGGACCTGTCATAGTCCTTTCGCTTCTTGGCATCAGATAAGACATGATAGGCTTCTGATACTTGTTTGAATCTCTCCTCTGCTGCTTCCTTGTCTCCTGGATTCTTGTCTGGGTGTATCTGCAGAGCCAACTGGTGGAAAGCCTTCTTGATATCAGAGGAGGAGGCATTCTGAGGCACCCCTAGTACTTTGTAATAATTCACCATGTTTCTTCAAACAGCCTTGCCCCACCAAGGGTTGAGATTTTGACAAATTTCCATATAACTTCAGAAAGGAAGATGGTCAATCATTCAAGTTTACAGCTTTGAATGTCATCACATGGTTCTTGGAGTGAAGCCTCTTCTGGTGGAGAAATTCCTCTTTAGTGTGTGGGTCCTTCCCAGGCCACCACGCCCATGCTCTAGAGGCCTTTGCTGCTCATTGTGCAGGAGTGACTATGAGGTCATCACCTCAAGCCAGTGACCCCCAGAGTCTCAGCTGATGCTGTGCCTGCCTTGTTTTCGTAGTGGGGGGACATCTGAGATGGATGTTACACAAATTGGAAAGACCTTATCTTACTCAAAGATAAACACATGCACAGTAAATAAGAACACTGTGTCTTGTTAACTGAGAGAAACCATTTGTGTAGCTTAAAAATTATTTGCCTTGTTTGTAACAGCCACAAGTCAGCAGATGCAACATCCGCTTTGGGTCACTATGGAGGCCAACACTTTTAGTGCCCTCCTGGGTGTCACTGTGACTTCATTATTTTATTTATTTTTGGTTTTACGAGACAGGGTTTCTCTGTGTAGTTTTGGAGCCTATCCTGGAACTCGTTCTGTAGACTAGGCTGGCCTGGAATGTGTATGGGTATTTTGCTGGCTGGCCTGGAATGTGTATGGGTATTTTGCTGGCTGGCCTGGAATGTGTATGGGTATTTGCTTGCATATATGTCTGCATACCACTTGCGTGCAGTGTCTGAAGAGGCCAGAAGAGGGTGTCAGATCACTTGGAACCAGAGTACAGAGTTGTGAGCCAAAATGTGGGTTCTGGAATTGAACCTGGGTCCTCTGGAAGAGTAGCTAGTACTCAACTGCTGAAACAGGTTTTCAGCCCCTGACCTTTGTTATTTAATATTTCCACTAGCATAATGGGTGTGGTAGGTTGGGGGTTGTCTTAATTTTTGAAATCATATATACATTTCTGATTAAAAAAAAAGAAAATTCATTCATCAAGAAAGGAAACTGGGTCAGAGGCAAATTTAAGCAGGGTTTTTAATGGACACACGGAGGGAACAGAATCAGAAGTTTGACTCCTCATTCAGTATGTACTTCAGCTGATCTGTTAATGTGAACCTTTTGGAACTTTATCTCTGTATTTAAAAACTAAACTAAGTAGCAGTATCGGAACCACAGACACTATTTAGAAGAAACAGCACTGGGGCTCCAGTGTAGTAAGGGTGTTCACTACCTGTCTTGATTCCTTTCTTGTTGCTGTGGCAAAATGCCCTCATAAAAGTGACTTTATTTTGGCCTACTGCTCAAGGTCTAGTCCACCATGGTGGGTGAGTTGAGGCAGCAGAACTTGAAGCAGGTGATCACATGGCACCCATGGTCAGGAAGAAGACAGCAGGGACTACATGCTGATGCTCTCCTCCTTGCTTCATGCACATGCAGTCCCACCTTCAGTGGGTGGCTCTTCCCACCTCAGTCAACGCAAGCAAACAAGATCACCTCTGACAGGCACACCCTGAGACTTATCTCCCAGGTCATTCTAGGCTCTGTCAAGTTGACAATGGACATTAAGCATCCCACTGCCCATTTCACAGGACACACAACTTCACATTTCCCAGACTTCTTTGTAATTCGGCATGGCGTGTGACTGACTTATGGTCACTGAGATGTGAACCTCTTTAAGGCAGATCATGAAACCACATGCTTGCTCCCCTCCTTCCTCCTTCCACTGACAGCCACCAAGAATGACAGAGGCTCTATCCCCTGGACTTTTGAAATATAGTGATGCAAATCATCTCCATCAACCACATCAGACTGTTGCTGTGAGGAAGAAACAACTGTGCCATCTGCCATGATTTCACCTATTTGTGATGGTAATCGACTACCTTTAGAACTGATTCCTGAAATGCCATCAGCTAGACAAGACCGACCTCTGAAGCACTCAATCCAACTGCTCTCCCTCTGCACTCTTCTAAATCAATCTCTCATTTCAACTCCGTGTTCTGCACTGTTCTTAGTCCCTTTCACAACCTTCTCCGTGCAGCCCTTGGCTGCCGTGGGAGTCATTCGTTCACGGATCCTCTAAAGTAGCCCTCTTGTGCCCAGGCCACAAGCACCCAAGCCAGGAGGAGCCAGCAATTCTGCATCCATAACTCCTAGACCCAGTGCTGCGGACACAACAGAGGAAAACCATGAAGATGACACACTGCACAACCTCAGCTGGGTTGGTACAGTGTAGAAACAGAATTGATTTGTGATCATCTCCTTTCCATTCTCCTTGGTGGTCATTCTTAACGCAACTGGTCTTCTCTAGTTTCTGATTAAACCCCAGCCCCTTCCCTTTCTTCCTGTTTAGTTAAACAAAACAAAAAGAGAAACCGTCAGGAATTTCCTAAATGTCTCCCAAAGTCAGAATGTATTGGATCCTCCAATGAAAAGGGTCAATGCGGGTTGATAAGTTAGGTCTAAACGACAATTGGGACTCCAAGGAAACCTGTGGTATTAATTCAAAAGTCTGGAGAACTGAAAATGGTTGAGGTGGGGGGTGGTTGATGATGCAAGTCCTGGTTGCATCTGAAGGTCTAAGAACTAAGAGCTGCAATGACAGATGGCAGAAGACAGATAACCTCAGGCCACACAGGCAAACTCATTCTTCCTCCACATTCTGGTTTCCTTTCTGTTTCTGTGATAAAAATGTTCTGACTAAAAGCAACTTAGGTCAGGAAAGTATATGTGGCTTACACTTCCAGGTCAGGGTCTGTCACTGAAGAAGTCGAGGCCAAAATCCAAGCAGTACAACTTGAAGCAGAAACCATGGAGGAAGGCTGCTTGGGGACTTGCTTACAGGCTCGGCTCACCTACTTTCCTTGGATAGTCTAGGACTATGTGTGCAGAGAATGATACTGCCCACATGGGCGGGGCCCTTCTAAACAATTACGGATCAAGACAGCCCCTCAGAGACATGTCCAAAGACCAACCTGATAAAGACAATTGCTCAATTGAGACTCATTTCTCAGCTGACCCCAGACTATGTAATGTTAACTAGGATACTCTACCTTAGTGTTCTACTGGGGTTATCGTTGGCTTAGATGATGCCCACCCACACTGGGGAGATTACACTTCTTTAGTGTACTGATTCAAATTTTAATCTCCTCGTAGATACACAAGACCATAGTGATGTTCTACCTATCTGGACATCCCTTAGTTTGGTCAAGTTAACACATAAAATTAATCATATGTCTCCAATGCAGTTTCCTATCTTGATCATTTCCTCATATTATTAAAATAAAATATTTGAAAATTTATTAACCAACTGAGCCATCATATATCATGGTTAAGATTACATTAGAAATTTTTATTGTATTAAAATTTATCTTATAGGCTGGTAAGATGGCTCAGCAGGTAAAGGCACTTTCCCCCAAACCTTGGTGACCTGAGTTTCATCCCTAGAATCCAAGTAAAGGTGGGTGGAGAGAATTGACTCCCTAATGCTTCCCAAAGGTTTCACAACTTCCCAAACAGTGCCACTAGCTTACGGCCAAGTGTTCAAATATAAGAAGTGGGGATAGGCACCAATCCCAGCTATCACACTCATCTATCCCTCAGATGTTGGATTTATGCCCCTCAGTGGATCCCCAGTACCTCTCTTTGCTAGGTGAACCAATCTTTTTTCCATCCATCCCTTGCTTTTCAGCCCCATCTCCTGCCGATCTGCTCAACACTCCCTAATACAAGTTTCTTGGAGTTGCCAAGACAGCAAATGTTGTTTCATGACTTTGTGTTTGGTCCTTCCTCTGCATGGAATATTCTGGACTTCCTTCAGAAGGTTCTCCTGACTGGGATGGTTTAAAGTGGCTTTATTAAAGTAATGTTTGTTGTTACTATTGCTTTAGTACTTTTGTCTTTATTTTATGGGTGTTGTCACTAAACAAGTAAGTCAATGCTCCACGCCAGGCTCTCTGTTTCACAGATGTTTTCATCTTCAACAGCTGACTTGGGTGCTTTAGCTTATTCTACGTAAATAAACATATTTTAAATATTTTTCATTACCAGTTTTGCCTTTAATTAATTCCCTTTGGCTACTTTCTATTAATATTACTCTTTTGCTTGCATTGTAACTTTAAAAAAATAGTTTATGGCTGGGCAGTGGTGGCGCATGCCTTTAATCCCAGCACTCAGGTAGGCAGAAGCAGGTGGATCTCTGTGAGTTCAAGGCCAGCCTGCTTTACAGAGTAAATTCCAGGACAGCCATAGCTACATAGAGAAACCCTGTCTTGAAAAACCAAAAAAAAAAAATTAAAAAAAAAATCTTCTATGAACTGAAGGGAGTTGCCATATCCCCTATAAATTTATTATACTATAGAATATTTTAAGCATTTCAGTGTTCACCCAACTGTTAAGAAATATCAAGCATCAGAGTACCTTGAATATGTTCAGTGCTGGTACTACAAAATCCTAGGGTAAATCAAGTTTTTTTCTAAGGTGTGAGGTTTGAATTGGCCTAACTCAGAGCTGAATTTGTCATGAAGCTAGAGAGGCTCATTTTGCACTTGGACAGTTTTGTACTCATAACTCTCTGACGTATGTCAAAGCAGGGCTCCAGAGCCGGAGACACTTGAAGCTCCACAGAAGCTGGGCTTGTTCCTGGTCTGGTGGGCACCATGAATCTAGAGGTACTGCAGTCGCATGACTTTGGGCACTGAGCTCCTTGTGGTTATGATGGGCCTCCCACTTAGTAACTCCCTTTTGAGGTGGGTAGTGTATCTGACAACACGCAGCAATACAAAATTCTGTTTTCCTTCATTAAAATGACTTCTTCAGCAATATAAAATTCTGTTTTTCTTTATTAAGATGGCTTCTTCAAAAAGTTGATCAATGTTAGCAGCAATGAGCCATCTGAAAAGAAAGTCTACTCTTCAGGTTTAAATTATGACTTAACCAGATGGGTATTTCAGATAAGAGGTTGTTTTTGTGGCTAAGGGAAAGGTAATGGAAGAAAATTCATTGGCCACTTTGAGGTGCATGTTATTTTGTCATGATATTCTGAGGCAGAAAGTGATCTCAGAGATCCATAGTGTTCCAGAAATAAAATTACTGATGTCACTCACTTACTCATAAGAACGGGAACTCTGCACAGTCTGAACCATACGACAGTGACTGAACGTCAGCTGTCTTGCATCTTCTCCTTACATTCTCTGAGTACATGAAAGTCAAAAAGATCGAGACAGAGAAGCGAAGTAACCAAAGAACACTTGGAAGGACTACCTTTGTGACCTGTGATCAGATCCAGTTTGAGTGCCACAGACAATGCCACTGTCAAGACAGATGACATTGCTGAAACCAGAAAGTGTTGCTTATGGAGCCTTCAGAGTCTGATGAAGTGAACCCATCACAATGTTCTGAGGTAGGTGGAGGTATTTTTGCTGAGATTAGTCAAAATAGTCTCTCAAAAGCTCTTAAGAAAGTAAAATTCTTGACATACTTTGATCCTAAAAACCAGGCAACCCATGTCCATAGGTGGGTAAGCATCAGTTATTTTTCTAATCACTCAAAAAAAAAAAAAAAATCACTAAGCCGAAAGTGTCTTTGCATCTTGTTCTATGCCACTGGAAGCCTACTTTAGGAGAAACTGTCTCAAGATGGCACCTGGGACTCAAAGTAGGCGCTTAGGCAACGTTCTACTGTTGAACTCAATATTAACTGTGTAGAATCTGAGTCCCATCAAAGCAAATGTCCCAGGATCACCCAGTGAGCATGAAGAAATTAAGAGAAAATAATTCAGAGGTCAGGACCCCCACTCATGCCAGTTATTAAGATACTTGGGAAAACAGGCACTTTATCTGTCTGTGGGGGAGGTGGTGCTGGCATTCAGTCATCCATGCCTTCTCTCCCACTTTCACTAACCAGTGGATCTCCTTGTGGGTCCATGTTAATGAGTCAAGTTTAAGTCCTCAGATGTTGAGGAGCAGCAGTCTAATGACAGAAGTCACAAGCTGATCTCAGGGACAATAACATTCCTAGTCACAAGGAAGCCAGCAATGCAGCCTGAACCAATCATGAACTTGGTCATAATGGCGGGGTGGGCAGTGGCTTAGAATACACTCATGATGGTGGGGTAGGCAGTGGCTTAGACACACTTGCTCATGATGGTGGGGTGGGCAGTGGCTTAGACACACTTGCTCATGATGGCGGGGTGGGCAGTGGCTTAGACACACTCATGATGGTGGGGTGGGCAGTGGCTTAGACACACTCATGATGGCGGGGTGGGCAGTGGCTTAGACACACTCATGATGGCAGGGTGGGCAGTGGCTTAGACACACTTGCTCATGATGACGGGGTGGGCAGTGGCTTAGACACACTTGCTCATGATGGCGGAGTGGGCAGTGGCTTAGACTCCCTTCTCGGTAGTGCTTATGATGTGCTTCTGGCTCAAGCAAGACTTGTCAGAGAACCTGATGGAAATAACTGGACCACAGGGAAATTTAATAGTTCTAAGTGGAAGCAGGGTGCATATAATGAGAAAAAGGGGTTTGTCAACAGGTTAGCTACCCTTGTGCTAAAGTCTTATGTGGGGTACAGTAGAGAAGTAGAGTACACCACTTCAGTTCTTCTAGAGGGGCACTGATCCTCTCCTGGGGCTCTACCCTTAGGATCTCATCTAAGTCTGGTTTCCTCCCAGTGGCCTTGACTCCTAGCACCATCACATACAGTGCGGTTTTCACTGGAGGTGTTATGGGAACTCCAACATCCAGGCTGTAGGACTCAGCCCTGGAACGGTGGTCTCCGCCACTCACTGCCGCTGTGCTGCCCATCCTGGACCTGTTCTTCCTGAGAGTGCTCCTGTGGTTCTCCTCAGTCTTTACACTGCTTCTGCCAAACCGCACGGCAAACCTGGCCCCGAGGAGACTGGAAAGCTGTCCTATTAGGGTTTTTTGGCTGCTCTGACCTAACAGTGTACCTGAAAAAGACATAGCTTTGGGCTGGACATGACCTTCAGTTTTCACATCAGGACGTCACTAGTGAGTGTTGACTTGGGGGTAACTGCCAGGGAGATGCTGGAGGTGAGATGTGGGAGGAAAATGCAGGTAAATATATTAGAGGATTTGCCTCAGTCCCCATGAATATATCATCCAATGACATGGCATACCATCTTGGCCTATCCAGTGGCACCCTGTAATTCCTTCAATGGGAATGAAGATGTCAGAGAAGGAGAAAGAACTGAGTCCCCTCCTGAGATTAATTCAAGGGCCTCTCCTTACCCACTGAGCTATCCTCCCATGAATGAAGGAGCTTGAGTTTCGGGACTTGCTCCATCTTCTGGGAATTCATTTATGAAGCTCCACAGTTGAAAGACTAGACACTGTGATGTTGTGAGGGCTTTCTCAATGAAATGTTCCAATTGACATCTCCGTGTCCCCAGTGCCAAAATGAGGTCATCCCTGAGAGAAAATGCCACTGCCCGGCCAAGCTCTGTGATGGCCAATCTCATCTGCAAGGCTGCGTACAGAATCCATAAGGCCAGGGAGCATCTGTCTCCTCGAATGGAGTGTCTGGTAGGAGTCTGAGCAAAAACGCAATCTGGAAAGGTTTCTGGGCATCTGGGAACCTGGCCAGGAGACCTTTTATCTGAGCTCATTTTTGTGAACCTTTCACAATATTACTTAAATTTAATTTTACAAGAGAGCTACTCAATTTCAATGACACAAATGGACATTATGCCATTAACAAACAAAATAAAATATGTTCCAGATGATTAGCTCCTACTTCCCAACCCAAGCTGTTATTTTCCACTAGAATTTTAATATAAAAATTTTCAGGCCGGGCGGTGGTGGCGCACGCCTTTAATCCCAGCACTCGGGAGGCAGAGCCAGGCGGATATCTGTGAGTTCGAGGCCAGCCTGGGCTACCAAGTGAGTTCCAGGAAAAGTGCAAAGCTACACAGAGAAACCCTGTCTCGAAAAACCAAAAAAAAAAAAAAAAAAAAAAAAAAAAAAAAAATTTCAGACATGAGGAATGAGGAAAATAACTTTGTGAATGCCGATATCCTACCTCTTAAATTCTACAATTAAAATTTTCTAAACTTACTACATTAAATATATTCCCCCCCCAAATACTTCAGTTTTATGTCACTGTTCAGTATTCTTATAGTTTTTTCTTCTATTATAAAATTTATAGGCCATGTAACATAAAATATGAATAATTTGCACAGGCTAGTGGAGTCAGTGACTAATGCAGACACCTACCATCCATTGTGTGGTCAGGATACAGTGACGAGTGCAGACACCTACAGTCCATTGTGTGGTCAGGATACAGTGACGAGTGCAGACACCTACAGTCCATTGTGTGGTCAGGATACAGTGACGAGTGCAGACACCTACCGTCCATTGTGTGGTCAGGATACAGTGACGAGTGCAGACACCTACCATCCATTGTGTGGTCAGGATACAGTGACGAGTGCAGACACCTACCGTCCACTGTGTGGTCAGGATACAGTGACGAGTGCAGACACCTACCGTCCATTGTCTGGTCAGGATACAGTGACGAGTGCAGACACCTACCGTCCATTGTGTGGTCAGGATACAGTGACGAGTGCAGACACCTACCGTCCATTGTCTGGTCAGGATACAGTGACTAGTGCAGACACCTACAGTCCATTGTGTGGTCAGGATACAGTGACGAGTGCAGACACCTACCGTCCATTGTGTGGTCAGGATACAGTGACGAGTGCAGACACCTACAGTCCACTGTGTGGTCAGGATACAGTGACGAGTGACGACACCTACCGTCCACTGTCTGGTCAGGATACAGTGACGAGTGCAGACACCTACCGTCCACTGTGTGGTCAGGATACAGTGACGAGTGCAGACACCTACAGTCCATTGTGTGGTCAGGATACAGTGACGAGTGCAGACACCTACAGTCCACTGTGTGGTCAGGATACAGTGACGAGTGCAGACACCTACCGTCCACTGTGTGGTCAGGATACAGTGACGAGTGCAGACACCTACCGTCCACTGTGTGGTCAGGATACAGTGATGAGTGCAGACACCTACCGTCCACTGTGTGGTCAGGATACAGTGACGAGTGCAGACACCTACAGTCCACTGTGTGGTCAGGATACAGTGACGAGTGCAGACACCTACAGTCCACTGTGTGGTCAGGATACAGTGACGAGTGCAGACACCTACCGTCCACTGTGTGGTCAGGATACAGTGACGAGTGCAGACACCTACCGTCCACTGTGTGGTCAGGATACAGTGACGAGTGCAGACACCTACCGTCCACTGTGTGGTCAGGATACAGTGACGAGTGCAGACACCTACCGTCCACTGTGTGGTCAGGATACAGTGATGAGTGCAGACACCTACCGTCCACTGTGTGGTCAGGATACAGTGACGAGTGCAGACACCTACAGTCCACTGTGTGGTCAGGATACAGTGACGAGTGCAGACACCTACCGTCCATTGTGTGGTCAGGATACAGTGACGAGTGCAGACACCTACCGTCCATTGTGTGGTCAGGATACAGTGACGAGTGCAGACACCTACCGTCCATTGTGTGGTCAGGATACAGTGACGAGTGCAGACACCTACCGTCCACTGTGTGGTCAGGATACAGTGACGAGTGCAGACACCTACCGTCCACTGTGTGGTCAGGATACAGTGACGAGTGCAGACACCTACCGTCCACTGTGTGGTCAGGATACAGTGACGAGTGCAGACACCTACCGTCCACTGTGTGGTCAGGATACAGTGACGAGTGCAGACACCTACCGTCCACTGTGTGGTCAGGATACAGTGACGAGTGCAGACACCTACCGTCCACTGTGTGGTCAGGATACAGTGATGAGTGCAGACACCTACCGTCCACTGTGTGGTCAGGATACAGTGACGAGTGCAGACACCTACAGTCCACTGTGTGGTCAGGATACAGTGACGAGTGCAGACACCTACCATCCATTGTGTGGTCAGGATACAGTGACGAGTGCAGACACCTACCGTCCATTGTGTGGTCAGGATACAGTGACGAGTGCAGACACCTACAGTCCACTGTGTGGTCAGGATACAGTGACGAGTGCAGACACCTACCGTCCACTGTGTGGTCAGGATACAGTGACGAGTGCAGACACCTACCGTCCACTGTGTGGTCAGGATACAGTGACGAGTGCAGACACCTACCGTCCACTGTGTGGTCAGGATACAGTGACGAGTGCAGACACCTACCGTCCACTGTGTGGTCAGGATACAGTGACGAGTGCAGACACCTACCGTCCATTGTGTGGTCAGGATACAGTGACGAGTGCAGACACCTACCGTCCATTGTGTGGTCAGGATACAGTGACGAGTGCAGACACCTACCGTCCATTGTGTGGTCAGGATACAGTGACGAGTGCAGACACCTACCGTCCACTGTGTGGTCAGGATACAGTGACGAGTGCAGACACCTACCGTCCATTGTGTGGTCAGGATACAGTGACGAGTGCAGACACCTACCGTCCATTGTGTGGTCAGGATACAGTGACTAATGCAGACACCTACCGTCCATTGCCTGGCCAGGATACAGTGATATATTTTCTTCTAGTCCTAACTGTAGTGGTTTGAATGAGAATGTCTCCCAGAGGCTCAGGTATTTAAACACTTGATCCCTGGTTTGTGGTGCTATTTGGGGAGGGTTAGGAAATGTGGCCTTCTTGGAGGAAGTACAACACTGTGGACAGGCGTTGCAAGCTTACAGTCTCTTCCTACTTCCTTTTTGCTCTCTCTGCTTTGTGTGTGTGGTTCAAGATATGAGCTATCAGCTTCCTGTTCCTGCCGCATGCCTGTCACATGCTACCATGCTTATTTACCACGATGGACTCTTATCCCTTTGGAACCATAGCCCAAGTAAATTCTTTCTTTCATAAGTTGTCTTGGTCATTGTGTTGTATCATAGCAACATAAAAGTAACCAATATACTAACCCTTAAGATACACACACCCACACCCACACACACACTCACATGCTGCCTATAATTCTACATACAGAATGTTGACATCACCAGAAGATTCCCTTATATTCCTTCACAAATCATCCCTCACCTCTACCTATTCACACCCAAGCACTGATTTTTTTTTTTTTTAATTTGACTATGGATCTCTTTTAGCAGTCTGAAATTCTAACATGGACCTATCTGGAATGAACCTTGTTGTGGAATGCTTCTCTCATTCAGTATAATGTTATTGAGACACATCTAAACTATTGTACATATAGGGAATTCATTTGTTTTCATTACTGGGTGGTATTCCGTTATGTATGTATCTCAGTTTGTATGCTCATTTTGTATACAGTTTTTGCTAACTATGGAAAAAGCTGCTAACAACAATTTTATACAAATCTTCTTATAGACATGCTTCCATTTTCCTTTGGTAAATACCCAGGAGCAAAACTGCTGGATCTTGGTAGATGTGTTTATTTTCCACTCTCACCAGCAATGCAGGAGCATCCTGTTTTGCTACACATGCACATTTGGCACCAGCTCTCTTTCTAATTTTAATTCTTCTAGTGGGTGTAAAGTCATTTAAGCTTCTATTTTGGCAAATTTTCCAAACTAGCGAAAAATGACATATGCATAAGGAATCAGGTTAGAAGGAAATATTGCTTGAAGAGACAGACAAAGGTGGCATTTAAAAGTCACTCATCTGAGTTTGTGCTGCACTAACAAGCTCTGGTGAAGGGATGTAGAATGGATAGCCAGACAGACTCTTCAGTTTCTAATTCTCTCAATTAGATTTTGAGACAATGGAGTTAATACCTAGAAAACTACAGCCTCTGCTGCAAGGGGCATGGGAGCTTTGTGTTCCGATGGGTGGACCACCAAGTTCTCCCACATCTGTCTCCCGCAGGGCCCTTCCTGTAGTGCTGGCTCAGCCTACTTGACAACCATAAATCACCCAGGGAAGAGACACCTGCTCTTCCCTGTCTCTAATGTCAATCCCTGGGCCCAAGAGAAAGAAATTAACAGTTTTTTAACATCAACACTCTGTCAAAGAGGGGGCAACAATTTATATATTTTTCTTTTAACTTGTCAGAGCAACATTCCTGTCAATCAGGTATGGACAAACTCATGTTAAAGACATGAAACAAAGACTCAAAGAACTCCAGTAACTTGCCCCCCTACACATGTGCACATGTGTATACACACACACACACACACACATGCATGCACCTGAACTTGACTCTACCCTAGGCTCCACCTTGATGAGCAACTGCAAAACAAATCACTGGGTCTGAGCAGTCCCTTGGGAACTGGGGACAGCTGTGGTGGAGAGCGCTGTGTGTCTCTCCAGAGTCTGTCTCCCTCTCTCGCCTGCTTCCTCCCGTGTCTGCAGTGAAGACAGGACTGATTCCTTCCACCCGTGAGCATGACCAGTCAGTCCCTCAGAGGGCTCAGATGGAAACGGGCTTAGGCTGCCTGTCTGCAGCTGTGCTCCAGCCTCTGGCTTTCCTCTTGGAGGAGGACCCAGCAGCTGCCACTCTCCTGCTGCTCCTCCTCACTGTCTAGGTGCCTCTCTGCCCCCTCACTGCTCTCTGGTCTCCCTCTTCACTCCCTTCTCAGTGTGAGGAGGGAGGGACCTGTCATCCTGTGTTTCTCCAGGCTGAGTTACCTGTTCCTGAAAAGCACTGGCTTGCTCCTCAAATCCTGCTGTTCGGAAATAATTGACGACGTCCATCACAGCCCAGTCTGCAGGATCGGGAGGCCTTCCATTTTCCATGGAACTGCAAAATACAAATCCAAGCTGTCAGAGTATGGCACCTACTCAGGTATGGACAGACTCACTGCCTTGCCTCCCAGGGCTGGTCTGAGCTGGCTCACTAGGAGCCTGGTGCTCACTTCCCTCGGGGCCTATCCCAGTCTACCCACAGAAGGACTCATGATGTTTCTTCTGTGTCTTAGTTTCTTGTGATCATTACTCATACTGGCATAGCCAATGCTTTCTTAGTAAAGTATTTGACCTTTAATGAAAATGATTCCCACAAATACCTTTTTTTTTAAGCCAGAGACATTTAGAGTTGTCCAGTCATTTTTGGTGGGCTTAATATTCCTACTGCAATTTTGGTATGAATATTTCACTTTATAGTGTGACTCTAACACATGTCACCAAATTCAGAGAAAACGCCATTTCTCAATAGATCATGTCTTTCTGTTGCATTCTGTCCCAACCCCTTATGATACTCTCCCTACCTGATGAATCCTTACCACTCCTACCAATTCAAGGGTTGCCTCTGCTTTAAGGCACTTCCTGGGACCACTAGGAAGTACTGAAATTATAATCTGCTTCGAGACCCAATAGTCCATTCAAATTACCATTCCTTCCCTACCGGGTTAAAGAGATGTGGGGCAAAGACCCACATGTGAACTTGGGCCGGTTCTCACTGTATTATTCCAAGTGTCACGCATGTGCTCAAGGAAGTCAGTGAACATTGTTCAAAATGAATCACAGTGATTAAGCAGATGAAAATCAGGATGTGTGAGAGGCTCGAGTAACCCTTCTCACTGGGTTTAGAGAGGCGGGGTAGAAGTACAGTGGGAAAGAAAAGCTACGCCCGCAGTTTCTGGGACTCTACCTCATTTCATAGTCACTTCAGGAGTATGTGTATACCTAATCCAACATAGTTCCCAGAAGGTCCATTTGACTGCATTGTTCCTCTGATTAAATCCTTCAAAGACTTCCTGTTCCTGTGGCAAATTCCCATGAGTTTAATGGAAGTCCTTCAGGACAAAAGCCTTCCCTCTCCAACTAGAAATACATTTGAGAGCAAAAGCCACAGCAAGCCTTCTGTGCACCCCCTCCATGTTTTAGTGTGAACACTGATCAATACATACTGTAGAGAGAAGCTGCATATCACACGGACAGCCAGGAAGGATGCAAACACTGTGCTGTGACAGGTCAGGCCTAGGAAGCTTTGTCTGAAGCAAGATCTAAAAGGCCATCCAAAGTCAATACATAAAGAGGTCAGGTGATGATTATTCCATGCTCTGTGGTAGGGATGTAGCCAGCCAAGGAGCCATGACAGTCCTGGAGGCGACACTGAGGGGTCCATACTTTTGCTAAGAGAAATGGGAAGTTGGTAAATGGCCTTATAGGAGGGGGGTGACCTAGTCAGAGCCACATTTTTGAAGAGTATGGAAGAGGAATGAGAATAGGAGAAAGGATGTGAATGAGAAATTTACTTTAGTCATGTCTGCAGAAATCGTGATCTCAGACTATAGTAGTGACTATGTAAAAGAAAGGACTCAGACCAGAGTAGTAGCTATAAAAAAGAGAGGACCATGGACTAAATACTCAATGGACAGGATCAGCCAGGCTCAGTGGTAGACTAAACAGAGAGAATGAACGGGTAGACAAGCCACAAAACTGAGCGATGGTGGTACCTTCACTGAGACAGAGCACCTGGGCTTTGTCATGAGAAGATTTAATGGGTCTGGAACTCCCAGCGTGGTTAGAAGAATGGGGTTCTGAAATTAGGCTTGGCAAGCTGAAAAGATCCTTGCTGTTGTTATAACGAAATGCCTAGAGTTTGAGAAAGCCCAGTAGGTCTTCACACATCTAAAAGGCCAGAGTCTAGACATAATGTTTCATTCAAAGAAAGAACCTAAACACTTAATTATGAACAACAACTACAACAAACCAACCAAACAAGCAAGCCACTCAAATTCTATTCTTTTTTTTTTGGTAGATCTTTATTTTAACTTTTTGTTTTACATACCAACCCCTGTTCCCCCTCCTTCCCCTTCTCCCTCCCCTCCCTCCCCCCTCCCCACCCCCATCCCCTTCTCATAGGGTAAGGCTTCCCTTGAGTAGTCAACACAGTCTGGCATAGGAAGCTGGGGCCGGACCAAGCCCCTCCCCCAGCATCACTGTTGAGTAAGTAATCTTACCACAGCGAACAATGGCTCTAAAGAGCCAGTTTCTGTACCTGGGATGGGTCCTGGTCTCATGGCCAGGGGACCCACATTTTGCCTTTTATTAAATTCTATTCTTACAGAAAAGGGAGCAGGTAGCTAACCAATGGACATGCAATTGGTCATTTCTCAGTGGTGCTTAATTTACAAACATTTAGAGCCAATGCCTACTAGTGAGAAGAGTTTCCTTCCTGAGTTTAACCTGAGTCTGGAAGCAGTGTGTGCCTATGTCTTAGATCATCCATAGCTGTGAAAACACACCATGACCAAAAGCAACATAAGAGGAAAGCATTTATTTGGCTTATACTTCTACACCACAGTCCATCATGAAAGGAAGTCAGGGCAGGACCCAAAGCAGAGCAGCCTGGGAGTGCTGATTACTACTAGCTTGCTCCTCGTGGCTTGTTTAGGGTTTTTTTTTCTTTTTTTTTTTAGAGACTGGGACCATCTGCCTAAGGGTAGTGACACTCACAATGGGCTGGGCCCTCTGAGATCAATCACTAATCAAGGAAATGCCCATGGACTTGTCTCAATTGTTGCCTCAGATGGACTAATCTCAATTGCTTTTCCCTCTTCTCATATAACTCTAGCTTGTATCAAGTTGACAAAACACAAAACAAAACAACCACAACAGCCTGTGTGTTTTTGTATACACAACTTCCTACCACTTAACAAGTGCTATGTGCTGAAAGAAGAAACTCATTTTCACAGCACTAATTATACATTTTTATATCAATGCTGATGGGGGGTAATGATCCATGTCCTGAGATTTTCCGTCATCTTGTAAAATAAACAATGACAAGCTGACACCAAGAAACCTGCTCAAGGCTCCCTTGGTTATGATGGGTTGAAGACTGTTTCTGCAGGCGTTTGCTATTCTGACAGATCTATCAGGCTTTCTAATGGCCTCACTTCTAGCAGTAAGCAGAGTCCCACTGAACAGACTTTGAAGTGCCTGGAAAAAACCTGAGTTCACACGTCCTGTAGGTGACTTCAGTGAGTCACCAGTCTTCATAAAGAATGGGTATTTGATTGTGGTATGGGAGGCTTTCTGGATTCCTATTGGGTTGCTGTAACATCAAAACTTCCATGATTCCGAAATGCCTTTGACTATTTGAAATGCTGTACAAAAAAGGTTGGTAAAACTGCTGGTGGTGTGCCACAAGTATTGGGGCAAAATGAGAAACTGTCACTTTCTTGTGGGCATAGGTGAGCGAGTCCAACCAGGATAAATGGGGTTAGTAACCAATCAGTATACATTAACAATCTGTCCAGTTTAAGTCTGATAGGCAAAAAGACAGGGATAATTTAGAAAAGTATAACAAAACAGGACTATTCATATCCTAGGAAGAAAGACCTGCTTAACCTCATTGCTGTTGTTTGCCAGCATCTATCACAGGTTTGGGAGGATACACAAAGGCTCATTGGATGAGATGGTCTACAAATCAGAGTATGATACACTTTTCATAGATCACAAAACATCAGTCTTCCACCCCATCTGAACTGAAAACTTTCACCCACTTTTAGGAAACCAAAGCTCAGAACAGGGAAGGAACTCACCCCAAATAATACTCATCCCAGATATTCTTTAATGCAAACCTACGTTCTTCCCACTATACTTACCATTCATACAACTATTGATTGGCAGTTATGGTCTTCTCAGCAGTGCACTAGATGCACGGATAAAGGACAGAGGACACCCAGTTTCTGCCCCAGCGGAGGTGTCAATCATGTGAGGGAAACAGAAATAGCCAAGTAATACTGGAATCGACGGGTAAGCAAAGTGCTAATTAGGGTGTATGCAACTGTCTGACTTGAGCAGTTGGAAGACTGGTAATTTTCAAAGGCATTTGTTACTCCAAATTCTCAGCTTCTAAGCTAGGTCTCCAAGAGGGATGAGTTTGCCAGGCCCTGCCTGTGACATCAGCAACAGTTTCAAGGACAGCACTGCACAGTTCAATGTAACATTAAAAGGCTATGGAGACGCAAGACTTAAGACCAAACACTCACTGACTATGGGTACATTTGGAGGGTGAATTTACATGGCTATTTGTTTGCTAGGAAAGTACTACGTCTGCTTCAAAGACCTTTTTGTTGCCAAACTGAGATATTCAACTTTAATCCATTATAAATGGACCAGTCTCTTCATATATAATCACAAGCACACATCAGATTCCAGAAGAAATTTAAATGGCATATTCAAGACACTTCTGAGATGGTGGCTCCATTGTGGCCCTAGTTTTGCATTGATGAAATGAGACAAGAGACAGAAGTGTGTTACGGTCCCTTTAATACTTATTATTGAATATCACAGTGGAGCCTTTCTTTGAAAATGCATACGAACTTGGTACATTTATGAGTATTTTATAGGCATGATGTCTTCAAAAATGTGTATGCATATTATGCTTTATTCAAAATATTATCAAGAAAGTAAGGGGCAGAACTTGTCTTCAATTTTCTTACTTTATCAAGTCAGTGTTTCCTTTTTAGCCATGGGCATATGGTTAGAAACATCATGTACCAATAAAAACTATATCATCAGTGAATAATTCACACTAGAAAACACTTCTCCCTTAATGAAATAACTCACTTTTAAGAAGTGATAAAGAGCCAGGCGGTGGTGGTGCATGCCTTTAATCCTAGCACTCAGGAGGCAGAAACAGGCAGATCTCTGAGTTTGAGGCCAGTCTGGTCTACAGCGTAAGTTTCAGGACAGCCATGGCTGCTCAGAGAAACCATGTCTCAAAAAAAAAAAAAAGAGAGAGAGAAAAAGAGATAAAGATAAACTAATCATGATAGATATACACTAAGT